ACCGCAGATCACCACAACTTACTGGGTAAGTTAACATACTTATCCAAACATGTCTGTATGAGTGGCATGTATGGCCACTATTCGAATGAGAGACAAGGCTGATTATCCCTTTTGTGGCAACAGGTCTTACATCATCATGCCCATGTCATGCAGAAAGGCAACAGGCTACTACAGCAGAAAAATCAGTATCCAATATATATAGAGAGATGCTGCGCAATCAATTAAAAAAATTGCCTAACTTCTCATCCATTGAAAAAGTGAGAGAGATTATACACCTAGGACTTGCACTGCTGACACTCCATCTGCATTTTTTGCAGAAGCTGCAGTATTTCATTGTTTTATTAAAACCAACCTCATTTTGCCAAGCTGATTCCACAACTTTGGATTACTCCATGCAGATGTCCTGTTGGCCATGGCAGCAAAAAGGAGAGCACACAGTTGAAAAATAAGCTAGTTTTAACTCTGTGTCATCTCAATCCTTGTCCCTATTACCATGACTCTGAGGGGAATGTTGATTATGTAAACCAGAACAGCTAAAGAGATGTGTGGTACAGTCCTACGCTCTTTTGCATGCTTAAAGCATCAGCTCATTTTATAGAGCACACCAAGCAGTCAGGTAGTTGTAAGTTTTTTTTACTTGGCTTTACTGGACTGAAGCAAGAAACAAAATGTACCATTTTCCATTAAAGAGATGGGACTGAGAAATTTAAGATGAAGTATTATTTCAAAGACAGAAGACTTCTTCAAAACAAGTAACTCCCATTTCAATCACATCCACTACCAACCCCAAGGCCATCCAGACAAAGACATGTTCTCTAAATAGTTTTGGAAAAAAATACATCCTAGAGTGCACGGTGGGCAAGCGGGCGTTACTTCACCCTGAGCAAAATTAGTCAATGCCTTTGTTGTTACTGATGTGTTTTAACTTACTCTAGCATGACCAGTTCTCTTAATGACCCTTAATCATTTAAAAACATAGAAAGAGGAAAGGGATTCTGTAAGGTTTAAGTCAGTTGAGAGTAGCTGATGGGTCTTGGATTGTCTTGTTACTGCTGAGGAACTCGGGAGAAGAGGTACCATTACAGATGTGTTCCCTCATAAGCTGGCTATGGGGTGTAGTTCTAAAAGAACAAAGACTTTAGATCCCATTTGCAGGAGTGAAGCTAACACTTATCAACCTGCTGTTGGAAAAAGGTGTGGATGGATGCTTTGATTCTGTACATGAAAGGCATGTTTGATCATTCTTCTTGCATTCAATGGACCTTCTGCAATTCCTTCACATCTTTTGATGAGTTGTACTATCCAAACCAAAAAGGATTCAGTACTCTAACTGTAGGTCTTTCCAGTGTGGAGCAGAGCAGAAGGAAGAGCAGAGCAGATAAAGAAGCTTTACACATAATGTCTCTGTGTATTGCCCCACTGTATCACATTTTCTCACCATTGCATGGCATGATTGAACCACATGCAACGTAACCTGCAAAGCTGCTGTATAGGCAGTTTGTTGCTAACTTGTGTTTGTAGTCTTGATAATTCCTGCCTAAGTCAAGAATCTTGCAATTGTCCCATGAATTGAACCTTATTTTTTTCAGACTACTTCTGACTAACCAGTTTTCCTCTGAAACCTCAAAACTCCTAAAAGGGTCATTATTCCTAAACTGATTGTCACCTTGAAGACCAGAAGCTGAGCAATGCAAGAAATTCCCTTCTCTCACAGCAATGGATCCTTTTCCTTCTCCACCTCTCTCCATCTGTGTTTTCATTCTTCCCTGTGGGAGGCTGTGATTGATTCCAGCATGCCACTAAGTCCTCAGTTTAATCACCGTAATCTAGAACAGAGCTGTAACTTTCACAACCTGAAAATGGCCACAGCCTTGAACTGTTCTTTCCTTTATTGAAAGGATATTCCCCTAGGCCAGTAAATGATTAATGTATGTGAACTAAACTAAATGTCAGAGAGAAGGAAAGGGCAAGTACTAAGACCCCCTTACCAAGTCAAATATTGCAGGGTTATCTTGATGCTTTGTACAGAACCCCCCCAACACCTTTTTATTGGTATTACCTTTAGCACTCCAATTACAGCTGGTGGGTAGCTCAAGCCAACCATATTTGAAGTCCGTCTGTACATTCTACCAAGATAAAATAGGCAACACATAAATAGAATTAAAACAAAACAAACAAACAAAAACCATAAAGCAACAGACCATTACAGGAGACCTTATATAGTCCAGGAAACCCGAACTGAAGTTTGTTTTTTTTCTTCCTTCTTGTTCCTAACTTGCACAATATTCTCTATACCATTGCTATTGCACAGCCTAACTTGAAACTATACATTCCCCAGTATCTCATAGCTTGGTTACCTGGCAGGACATCACAGAGAATCTGCCAATATCAGGTCTTCATCAGAGGGAAAGGCTACACTCAAATAAACAAGATGTTCCTCATTTTCCACTGCAGATGACCATATTGCTCTTTCAGTTCCCTTAGTCCTTGCTGGTCCACATGCAAGCTAATTTTGAACATACTACAGAAATCATTTGTTGTCTGCAATGAATCAACTCCAGTTCAGTACAGCTGTTACTTTTGTCTGCATTTTTTTAGGATTGGTATAAAATCTTTTGGGTGTTAGCTCTGTGTGTGTTTGAAGGAGAGAGAGAAAGACTAAGGCAATAACCAACATGTACAACCATACTAAACAAAGCACTGAAGTATGTACTAGATTTTAAACTTGTTTCCAGGCCACACTGTGTTTAACAGGCGTGGTGAATGTAGAAACACTGTCACAGCTAAAATGTGTTTCTGCAGGTCACCTTTTTTTGCACTTAAGTAATGTAGGACTAAAAGGATATGATGGAAAGCTCTCGTCTCCCATCTGAAATGATCCCATGTGAAGTCTTCTTTCACTTTCCTTTTTCTTTTTCATGTTCTGCACTCAGACTGAAAAAAGTCAGCTCCCTTTGGAGAACTAAATTCACTCATGCCCCAAATTACAGAATTTCTTACCCCCTCCTCCCTCCAGTCAGAAGCCCCATAGTCTTCTCGTAAGTGACAATTCAGGCAGAGTCCCTCTCCCTCAGCTCAGGAGAGCCACAACCCTCCTCTGGTGCCATATCATATTTGAATACTTCCTCCTTTGGGCCACAGTGATTCAGATCAGCTGGAAAACAGTCTCCTGCAGCCAGCTCTCTGCAGTTCATTTAACCTCCTTGCTGAGCAAATTCCTCACTGAGAGTGAGGGTTAATTCACAAATAGCCTGTCAAACTTAGGAGAAACCTGTTCCAAGAAGAAATTACAGGTTTAGTCTTACCACAATTTGCTGCCACTCATACAGTAACTTTGGTATACAGATAAAAAAATCGGCTATAGACATGCTGGAGGAAGTGTCTGTGTGGCTTGTGGTCCACTGTCTGATACGCCCAACCTCCTGCACAGAGGGCTAGTAGGCTGTCACTGTGATTATGATGAACAGTGAAAGGCACTCTGCTCTTCCATTCCTGACTTGAGTTTTACTGTAGAGACCTGGAACCTGCTGACTTTCATGTTGCCTAAAGTCTGTTGATGGTTTCACATGTGCCAGCCTTCCTTCTAGCTTGAAGAAAGAATGTCAGTGAAGAGTGCGTACTCAGTAAGAAAAGGTAAGATTGGAAGTGAGTCCAAATTGAAATGACTAAACATTTTACAGGGTTCAGAGAGTGAAATCAGTTTTAGAAGTAAGTTCTGATGCAAAACACAACAGAGAAGGCTGAGGGGACTCAATGGGGTTTTTTTAAAATCCTCCCTGAGCTCCAAAGTTTTCACATCAGTCTTGGTCTATAGTTCATTGCTGTAATTCTATCATACAGGATTTTCTTCTGTTTCTTAGCAGTTCTTCATAAAAAATACTAGACAACAGGGATAAACAGAGGCAAGGCAGGGCTTGGTCTGGGCTGACTGAATTTTAAAAGCTGTGACTCTTGACCTAGGGTTATGCAGAGGTACATATTCTCTTTCAAAATTATTCCCACTGTGCTGATACATCTGTATTAAGCTAAGAAAAGATCAATATGTGCTGTTTCAGGTTGCAATCTATTACTTAATCTCAGCTTTCGAGGTGCTTTCCAGATCTGTGTATAAACATCATTAGAAGCATAATTTAAGTATTCTTCATTCAATACTGCAGGTGCAATTTGCGGTACCTGGGTAGCTGCTAGAACAAAGCAATTACATGCGCCTTTACCTTTCCACAAATATCCCAGCTTGTACTGCATGGACTATGCTCCTGAACCGGGGTTTTTCCTCCGTCCTTTTGAGCATCATCCCCATTTGTCGCGTGAAGGTAGAAGCCAACCAGTCCCGGACCTCCGAGGGCACAGAGTCAGACTGGATGTCACTGAGTTCATCTTCTGTGTCCAGTAGACGCCTAGAAGTGGGAGGAAAAAGATGGGTACACAGACTTCCATGGAGAAGCACTGCAACATTATTAACAAAAAAGAAACTCACATATATTCTAGTTAAAGCAGTTGTTAAAAGTCTTTGGTTCATCAGCCCTAATGGAACATAATTGAACAAGTCTTCAACAGATTGTTTATTCTCTTGTATAGTTAAATGTCAGATTGTGAAACTCACTACTAGGCCAACAAACAAGAAGTATCAGCCTTCTGAAGCACAACTACTTAATCATCCACTGACTTATCATCTTCAGCTCATCGATATTCCTGACCTTTCTGCCCTTCAGAGCTTATTTATGGTCATGTCTAACTTCCCAGTTAGTATCATACAGTCTTCTCCTATTCTGGTCATCTGAGGTGACTCTACAAGTACATTTAGCACTGGAGAAATGGCATATAACAGGGCGGGAAACTCTTCTGCAATGTCTTACCAGTCTACCTCTATCATGACCCAGAGTAAAAATTTTTTTAATTTCAAAGACTTGATACAAGTGAGAAGATTTAACACTATTCAAAAAGAATAGAGGAGAAGGAATTTAGAAACTTTCAGAAAAAGTGGGACACAATTATTATGAAAAAACTTCTCCAAGAGAATATATATTAAATTTATGATTGCTTTTGATCTCCTCCCCTGCCCCAGGAAACTTAAAGCAGCATTTTGACCAAGGACTGAAGATCTGCTCTACACAGACTACAATATTTTAATGATTAAAGACATATTGTCTGTGAGTAATAAATCTTGGCTAGAACAAATTTCCCAACTGACGTGTAAATTACAATTTTGTGTCATCGGTACTAGATATAAGAAGAGTGCTGATGTCTGTAGTTAACTCACCTAGTTTCGTCAATATATACTGACTCAAGAACAGTCGCAGCATATTCCAAATTCTTCTTTAGGTCTACAACTGAAGCTTCCCCTCTCTCTAACTGCTTTACCAAAGACCTCAACCTAGAGAAAAGGAAAACAGAAATTTAATTAGTACAAGGAGAAACAGGTTTGAGAGTGTAAGTTTAAAACTGGATCCAGCATGAGACCTAGCATACATGAATGTCAGGTGAAAACTTTTGGAAGTCTACAAGGTTCCTTAAGCCAAATACAAGAAATTAACAAAAAACACTTTTCAGAGATCCGTCACAATGATGCCAGGCAACCATCACACCATATTTAGGCTCAAGGAAGTCAGACAGTTATGACTGTCCCCTACTCATCCTGAAATAAGTTAAAATAGAAATCACTTGGAATTTAACACCGGATCTAAGAGAGTGCAATTTCATTCTGGCCGTAAGAAAGGAAGTGAGTGGTCTCTATCGACAAATGTCAGCCATTTATGATGATTGGTGTACACTTATGCAAAATTGTATTAGAGTATATGTAGAAATACTATTACAGAAATACTATACAAGGTTAGGAAATGCTATGATTTTCATTAGATCAAGAGGTCACCCTTAGACTATCCTATCTATATTAAACAGAACTCATGGAAGTTTTTTTATCAGTTATTATTATTATTGGGGGATGGGACAGACTTTCTGAAAACAAAACTTTGTGCAGAAAAGGTCTCCTGTGTCAAAGACACTTAATGTATTTGTGCAATTTTCTTTTGTCTTTTCCTCTCCTTCACTCTACTTTCTGTGGCAAATTAGAAAAACAAAAAAGGGAAGAAAGTGGAGAAGAAAATGTAGAAGTCAAGAGTAAAAAGTAAATATTTTAAACAATCCAAGAATATACATGCTTACAATTATAAGAAGAAAATTATCATTCCTTTAAAAGGACAATGGGATAAAGATTTGACATGTGAAAACATTTTTGTGAATATCTTCATCCTTGTTAAACAGCATTAAAATAAACATTCAATATACATTTAACAGTGTAGCAGAAATCACAAGTTGTTAATTTGTCCTGTTCAAGATGCAAAAATATAGAAGAGTAGTCACGTAATCTAAAATCTGTCTTCTACTCAGGGGACTACTCTTCCTCAGCTTTTTCTATAGTCCATGGAGAAAAATAACCTTTTCCACAAGGTAATTCAGAGCTAGAGCCCCATATAGGTGCCTGCTCTCACTTTAACTGTAGTGGGAGCCCAACCTCCTACAGTAGGCATGTACATGAAGTTCTTAAAATTAAGTGAGTATCTGTATTCCCTTGCTATCATAATGCCCCTGTGGCATCAGTGCTTTCAGGAGAAATCAAGTCTCCATGGGGCTGTATTTCATGGCAGAGCTGAGGAGCAGTCAGTCTGCCTATGTGCACTGCACAAACAGATCTTTTCAGATGGCTTTCCTTCCCCCCGCCTTTCCCCACATAAACAGTGAGGCTCTGGAGAATAAAAATAATAAAAAATATTGTTCCTCTGGCTAGGTCACATAAATACCACTCCTACTGACAGTGGTACTGCTGACACACAGCTACATATTTAGCATTACAAAGAACCTTGAGCAAGAGGTGGACCCTCCATCTCCAGGAGGATTAACTCATCCGCTTGTCGGTGGTCGAAAAACAAAAGTATTGTTCAATACTTCATTCCTGCCGTGAGAATGGAGATGGGAAGGTCAGTAATGTACAAATACACTGAACACAACTCTTCTCCATAAGCCAGGTGGAGAGCATTCAACTGTGCCAGCACATTTCCTTCCAATCCTAGAACCCAGCTCAGGGAATCCATGGAGCAACCTCAGCCCCATGGAAGAAGAAACACTGCTCGGTGCTCCCATACCCCTCTTCTGTGTAACTGCATCACCAGGTGTGAGCAGCAACACGTTGTGTTTGATGAACAGAGCCAGGAAAGGTGCTCACCCACCTTTCAGGTCAATTCCAGCCTTGGGCAGCACACATGGAAGATGAATTCGCCTCCTCCCTAGAGCCAAACCATTGATCGCTCCTACCCATTCCCAGCTTTTCTTGCCAATGCAGGAGGGGAGGAAGAGAAAAAAACAAAGCAACTTCCATGTCCAAACAGTAAGCATTGGTTCATATGCCACCTCCTTCCTTCATCCCATGTATGGGGAATCCAGAATGTGAGCTCTTAACTAGTTACCAGAAACATTGTTTGTACACAAGCCACAGGAGTTAATATTGCAGGAGGAACATTATCTTTGGCTCTTCCTGACTTTTATTTTATTGATTTAAGTACCCGGCAGCTCTATGCCACAAGTCATTCAAAATTCATGTTCAATAATAGCGCAGTGAATAATGGTTGCTTCATGGCACCAACATTCATCATCAAAGAAGATTATGCAGAGTACCACGTGCATCAATCATTTGGAAAAACAGAAGTACAGTTGTTATAATAAAACCTTGTCACACGATCAGGCGCTCTCGTGAAAAAAAATTACATTGTCTTTGTCTTACCATCCATTATCTATAACTATTTCTGATTCATTGAGTCACAGCAGCTGCTGCCGGTTACCTTTACTAAATAAGAGCCCAGTGATAGTTTGTCTTTATTGCATTCCATGTATTTTTTTGAAATAGTGCTAAATGCAATCATAAAGTTAAGGCCAGGCTGTCCCACTGAAGGGCATCCAGGCAAATTTATTAGCTGAAAAATTCTGTTTCACCGTGGCTGAAGTAATTCCAGAATTCAATCAAATTCACCAAACCATTTTGACTGAAATAAAGAACATTACCTCAAACTTTTAACATGTTTTATTTTTAGGAGCTTGTATTAAAGCAATGGAAGCAGAGGGCAAGATGCTGACTTCCTATCTTTACCCCTCAGAATAGTCATTGCAGCAAGTGAGTAGGGTTCAGTCACATTACTGTTTCACAGGAAAATGCTGAGTCTGTCAGGCTACTGACTGAAAGAAACATACTGATATAATTACCACAATCTATTTAAGGAACCCAGTTCATCATTTACTTTGCTTTTATTGTAACTGTCTGTTTTGTCTGAACAAAATGCTTTTTTCAACCAAAGCATGTTTGGTTCTGTTCTGTTTTTAAAAGCTCATTATAGACTGATCAAAACCTAAATTTTCACTGTTTCTTTTTTCTCCTTCCTTTTCCTTTCAAGTTCAGAAGTAAAACTTTGCACAGGTCTACCAGACCTAGTTCCACTGAAGCCCATGGAGCCAGCTGTAGAAGCAGCCAACTCCTGTGCGTAAGGAGATCGCAGGCCAGAAGGGAAGTGTTAACCATTTCTAATATTAAGCTATCTTAAGACCATGGCATATGCCACAGGTGAGCCAGGCTGACCTATGTCAGCCAGAAGTTTTTCAGATTGTGGTCATCAGCACAGCAGTTACAAAGAACTGATTGGTCACACATTATTAGCTCTAAATCTAGTTGTTTAATTATATTAAGATACAGCTAATGCTTTTCTTCATGAGATTTCCAAGGGAAGCTATTCCTCCAGTCTGCAAATTCTCTGTGAGTGTGCCAAATATTATGGAAAAAGTCTGAGAACCTTTGTTCTACGCACAGTTATTTCACGTTTTAGTCCTCGGAATAATCCCTTAACTGCCCAAAGGAAAAGCTTAGTCCTGAGCAATGCTATGCATTTTAACTTCCACTGACCACACAGGGAGCTCAAGTAGGTGTAAAGTCTTGGAAAGGGCCAATTCCAGAATGTGGCCCCCCACACTGCCCTTCCAAGAAAAATATGTGTATGCAACCCCCATAAAAACCCCTGAGAGTATCTGCAAATAATCCCACTGAATTCAGCAGAGCAATACATTTGTGTAAAACAGGTGGGCTGAGTTCTCAGTGAAGGTGAGAGGTCACCCAGAGCGTACGCTGTTCCACAGCCCCACTTCCACTCCTTTTAAAGTTTCCCTGAAGTAGTGGCTATCATAAGATTTAGGGAGATAGAAAGCAAATGACTAGAAACTGCCAAGTGAACTCAGTCCATGAAAGTTACACAGCTCAAAGACCCAAAGCCACTCAAGATGCAAACTGAATAACAGGAAAAAGTGAAGCTGTTTTCAGCGTGTTCTTGAAATGTAAAATTTCTGAGTAACTGCTCCAAGCATTCTCCTCTCTGTTATAAATAAAACAGTATCTGTGTACAAATATTTATCTCCTAGCTAGAGGGCTTTCTTTTATGCTGTCGATTTTTTTTAAAAATAGCATTACATATCACTGCAGAGAAGATTAACACCACTGCAGTCTGGATACCAGTCAGCTTCAATCAACATGCAAAGCACACGTATCGTCTGAATACTTGGGGCAAGCTCTTCCAACCAGTGTAAAGTCTGCAAAGCTGCGTGGTTAGTCTCCGCATTTATTTTCAAAGCTTTATTGACTGTGATTCACCACACGTTTTCAACAGTACAACTCTTTTCCTCCGAGGACCATTCTCATACCATTGGGCTGGCTGAGGAAAAAACTACTTGGAATGCACATTAAAAATAAATTAAAAAAAAAATTCTAGTATCTTTACAGATTACCAAGGATGGAATATTTATCCCTGGTTTACTCTTGATAGTAATGGCTAAACAGTTTGACATGGACAGCTGAACCTGATTAGCATGTTGTTTCAACCATGATAGCCTACTACCTGACAGGTGAGGTTTGTAGAAAGCAGAGAGATTTTTTATTATAGCTGGGAAGAGGGCAAGCTATTGAACACAGCATTGCTAGAGCTGGTTAAGCACTCTCTTGAGACAATGTTCTTTCATCAATTGTCACTAATTATCTAAGATCAAAAGCTAATCAAAAGCCTCTGCTAAGTCTGATACAAGTTTCATTAAGAAAGCCTGCAGTGGAATTTCTTATCAAAACTAAGCCCTGTCCACGTAGCAAAAGGCCCTCACCAGAGAGGGGAACCCTGGGCTGAAGTGATTGCCACTTGGTCCTTTTTAACAGATACTGAAATTGGAGATCCCAGAGCTCAGGTGATAGACTGAGGGAATCATCTTTGATAGCTCAGTCCTAAAGACAGCTTGGTGGGAGAAAGGACTTATACCCTAGACCAGAAAATCCTCATGAGTGGATTATATGCCTGGGTT